TTTTCGTACTGGAACTTCATATCGCTATCAAATAGTTTCGAAAAAAAAAAAGAGCTTAGCACTGCTATTGTAGGAATGCGCCCCTTCCCAGTTCTAACCACGTTTTCGTTCTTCGAGTCGCAATTAACGTGCTTCGCAATCAGCCACTTTATTTCCACCATTAGCAAGCTAAAATCGTTAACTGTCATCGTTAATTCTTCTTTTGTGTCTTCGTTGAACGAACTTGCTATGACGTGGCTATTCCCAAGTTCCACTCGCAACCACGTGAGCGCCTCTATCTCTCTCTCCGTCAAATTCGTTGTTGCTAGGTGGACGGTCCATCCTTTTTTGCACCTCCGATTATCCTCCGTTGTCGTTTGTGCTGCACATGACAACGCATCATGTCCTTACGTGAGCTAGTGGTTCGGTACGTCCATTTCTAGTCATGTTCATTGCATTCAATTTGGAGTAGTACCACGTAGTCAGAGTTACCTTAAATGAGCGCGGTGCTTATTAAGAGAGAGAGAGAGAGAGAGAGAGAGAGAGAGAGAGAGAGAGAGAGAGAGAGAGAGAGAGAGTGAGACGTTTGGAGAGAAATTTAGAGAGAGAGAGAGAGAGAGATTATGCATTACACTGTAATCTAATGTCCTCTTCAAATCACTGCGGAATCAATTATTATATCACACGTCTCCAAACGAAAACACTTATATGAGTTACGTACACATTGTCACATACATCAATCGAGTGTTACGCCAACCCGATGTCGACAAAGTGGCATCGAAGGTTACATCGTACGGACCTCCTCTAATAATGCAGGCGGGAAACGAGTGTGCATCGCAGATGGTGAGCCCCRCTCCTTCCGGGAGTGGGGCTTTTGCAAATGAAATGCAACAAGGTGGGTATGCACAACGTGCGAGTGAGGTGCAAAATGATTCCGATGAGATGATGAAACTGCTAGATGAGACAGAGAAGGAGGGGACGAGGAAGGTCGAGGGACCAACCACGTCGAAGTCGRTGATTAATTGCATTTCGTTGAGTGATGAAGGGATAGACGGAGTTGTGGAGGGGCGCAATGACAATGACGATGCAAGGGCAAAAGTCGATGAACAACGACAAGGGGATGACGAAGGACGACCTGGAGGCTTGGCGCGTTGCATGCAGGCACGCTTTCCATTCTCTCTCGCATACGTTTCACTCGCTCCTCGATTTCGAGGTCTGAGGTTTGAGTCTCCTTATCGCTCTCGATCGGATTCCACGCATCATATTCTTTGGCAATCTTGCTGTATCCATCGTACGTCAGCATTGCCTGATTTCCTCCGAACTTCATTCGTTCGCATCTTGCTACGAACATCACAAACGACCCCACTTGCGCTTTATGGTAGTCACTATACGCTTCCTGTGCCATCGCTTTGCGAACTATGTAGTCATGCTCGAATGGCGTCTTGGGTTGGCCTTGGAACAAATATTCCCACATCTTGTTTCTCTTCTTGCCCAGCTTGTGGTACATGTCCCTGTCAGGACGATGCGCAGTCTTCTGTCTCTCAACGGTGCATTCGTTTCTCGCATCCTTCCCGAGAATTTCGATGACCTTCGTCAAGTATGAAATGTCTTTTGACGACGAGTCGCATGCGAAAACATGATGGCCAGCGCGCAGGAGTTCCCACACAAGTCCAACATGCGACTTTCCAATAAGAATCACCCCCTGGTCCTCGTGCAGAAACAAACTGCACAACTTCTGCAACCGTTTAGAATGTCGTTCCCACCGCCCATACACCTCTCATTCGTTTCCTTCCTCGCCACCGTGCTTTGCTGTGCGTCTCTTGAATTGCTCCTCATCAACGTTCAGCTCCWCTATCTCTGCCTTTGATTTAGGAGCCCTCGTTACCTTCCTGAGGTCGCCCCCCTCAGCATGTAGGACGACCTTCATCGTGTCCTTATAATCGACTTGCCAGTTTTCATACTTGCTGACAGCCGTTCCGAACGCGAGATAATGCTTCCAAGTCCCGAGTACCACCTCTGCATCGTCCCCGTTGTAAAGTTGCTTCATGACAGCCTTGTGCTGTTTTTGCGGAGCAAATACAATCAGAATCCAATTATTACCGCACAATTTCGTCGTCATTTTGCGCAGAGCATCGAAATCGGCTGGCGTCCATACAAGGCAGTCCTTCGGGTTGGCGAGATCCAGGATAGCCGCCTTGCAATTCAAGTTCGTGGCCGCAGTCACAATTTCGTCGCCTGCAGGCAGCAACTCCTTCGGTTGCATGTTGACCGGTAGCAATGTCGACCGTCGCTGTTTCTTCTCCCAGCTAAGATTAAGGGCAGCGTTCTTCAACCGCCGCAACTCTGCTTTCAGCAAGTCCACTCTCCCAATCGCATGGTACACGAAGTACTTGAAGTGGAAAGGTGCGTCCCTATACAACGCCGCGGTGGCCTTCAGGCCAACTCCTTTCAGGCCTTTTTCCTCTTGCTCTCCGCCGAGTATTTTAGGAACCCTCCTGACATATTCCAAAGGGATTCTATCCCTCTCCTCATCCCATTCGGCTGCCTTCACACCGAACCTTTTCTCCAACCTTTCGTAGTCGATGAAGTTCCCGTCCTTCCATTCTTTCCCCTCCTCGTTTTTCGATTTGAAGACGATGTAGTTGAACAGACGCATCATGTATCTTTCCCGCTGCATGATGTCAAGGAGGTTGCTCATGTTCAACTTCCCTGGAGGAACCAGTCGGGTAGTGGCGATGACCTTCTTATCTATCATCAACCGCAATGCAATTTCCTTCTCTCGCCTCGTCATATCTCCAAAACATTTAAAGTTTGATGGAATGAGATCTTTGAAGGACACGGTAGCGTTTGGTCCCCCGTCCTTAGCCGCTATGCAATGGAACAGCTCCTTCTTCCCATGCACCTCTTCAGTGTATTGGCCCGGCACCCGGCCTTCCTGCTTTCCGGGCAAGTCCTTTGGGCATTTGTTGTCTTGCAGCGGCAACTCCCCCGCCTCATACTTCTAAAAAAACTCCTTAACCAGTGTCCATACCGGGTCCTTGCATGTGGCGACATTCATGTACCCCCTCATTCTGTTCGTCCAGTCCTGCTGCCACTTCCCAAAGATACACTCCGTCCACAATGCTTTCTCACACGACTTTCCCATGCACGACCTCAAAAATTCCCTCCATGTTTTCTGGTGCTCCAAGCCTTTGGGATCCCCTTTGGACACGTTCCCCACAGGCCCGATCCGTTTCTTGCTGTCCCAAAATCCTCTGATGTCCACGCAGGCTTGGTGGAACGATGGCAACATAGCACGGTCACCTCGCGTGTTGTCATATGTGGAAACATAATGGTACCCGTTCGTATGGTCATCGTCAAAATAAATGATCCGTACACGATCATACTTCTGAAAGCCGAACACCTCCACCGCTGCAGAGTTCTTCGCCACCGCTCTTTTCATAGCTTCGGAAGAATGTTGACCGGCAACCGGGTAATAGAAAAACTCATCTGGCCGTTCGGGGTCGAAATCCTCTGGAAGGACGCGGGTTCCTTGTTCGTCCGCGTCCTTTGATGGATTAATCGGAGCCAACACCAACTCCGGTGGATCCCACGGAGCCAGATCATCCACGGACTGTGGGCGAGTTGATGCTTCGATTGCCGCTTCGATGCCTGCGACGATGGCCGGGTTCAGTGCTCGCTGGTTGAAGGTGATCTCTCCCACCGGAATCGGAAGAATCTGCATGACGTCAATGACCACCCTAGGCGGGTCCTTTCTCTTTTTGTCGTCCTCGTCGTACTCGAGGAAGAAGCATGGCGTCATGTTCACCGCTTTGGGTTTCTTCGTCTCCGGTTCGTCGTCGTCAGGGATGGAGAGCAAACGAGGGGCCACCCCTTCAGCGTCGTCGCTCGAGTCATCCGATTCCGGGTGCCTCGACGGCCGCACAGGCTTCCTGGGTTGCGACATTTTGCAAACCCGAGCTTTGGATTTGGATTCCACACCGGCTTCACCAGGCGTACCAGCAGCTGCATCCAAGGCGAGCCGAGCATCCTGCACAACTTTTCTTCGAGCCTGCTTTTTAGGCGCGGCTCGCTTCGGCGACGATTCCGCTGTGCGTTTTCCCCCCCCCTTCGAAGTAAGCTCCGCGGAAACATCGACATCCTGTCCTTCATCTTTCATTTCCTCGTCTTCCATTTCCTCGTCTTCCATTTCCTCGTCTTCCATCTCCTGGTCTTCCATCTCCGAACCACCCACATTACCACCGAGCACCCCACCGCTTGCCGCTGCCTTTTCGCAATCCATGTGGTCCTGCCCACCACCACATTCTCCTTCATTCTCATCGTCTTCTCCATCGCCCCTTGCCCGGGCTTCGTCACCTCTACTATCCTCCCGCTCTGCATTCACATCGCAAGAGCCTTCGCCCTGGGTGAACCTTCGCGTGGCTAGTGACTGGGATTGCAATCGGCGAATCCGTTCATTGTCCTGCGTCTTCTCGCTTGGCTCCTCGTCCATTCGACGTTGGGAGGTGTCCCGCGAGCGCGAGCTTCTACCGGCACGCGAGCTTCCCGGAAGACTAGAAGGTGGTTTGTCGAGCACCTTCTTCTTCGGAACGTTTCCCGATGACCCATCGCTCGGACGTCTTTGGTAAGTAATGAGTTTCTCCTTCGCGGACACAGATGGTTGCGGAGTCGGGACATCCTGCCGCCGATCGCTAGATCACGCTGACAAGCCTGCGAGACTTTCTCCTGGAGCGTCGAACGGCACAAGAGGCAACGAGAGCTGGTAACCAGCGGAGACCGTCGGGTATTGACCACTTCTCCTATACTCATTGGTCTAGGTGAGGAATTCAATGGGTAAGAGCGTCCTCGAAGCATTCCCGTCCCGCTTGCTGCAGAAGGCTTTCATACCGAATGCCTTCTGACCATACCCCTTGAACAGAGCAATGTCAAGGCTGACCTTGTAGTCAATCTTGACCCAGTTCGTACCCTGCTCATCGTACACCGAAGTGAGGAAGAAATTTCTCAAATCTCGGTCGTCGACCTAACCCTTGTCTGTCGTGGCCTTGTCAACTTCAGACCGGATGATGCCACCACAACAATACCAGGTCGTCCCTTCGTCCTCCGTCAAGAATACAGCAGCACCGCACCTGGGCTCTCCGGGCACTCCGACCCAGTCGAGAGCCCACAGCTTGTCGCGGTACAGTTTTGACCTGTTGTTGTACCTCTTATCCGCATCTTCAGGACACCTACGACCTTTCGCTGGAGGAGATGTCAAAAAGAAAAAGAACGAGGGATGCATCAATGACACCTATCTCTATCTCCCACATCACGAGATGGAAAAAACCAAAATACAAAAGCAATTCCATGCCACATGCCGATGGCAAACCTATCTCTACCTCACACTATGGGCAGCAACCGCATGTGTCGACCCTGGGGATCGTCGGGATTCTGCGTTTGCCAAACGCAGGACCCCCGGCTGCCGACCGACACATCGGGGGGGGGGGCGGGGGGCCCTGCGTCTGACTAACGCAAGCCCCCCCCCCCCACCGACGAATCGGTTGATAGCCGGGGGATCCTGCGTTTGACAAACGCAGGACCTCCCGCTACCGGCCGGCACATTGGTGGGGGGTCCTGCGTTTAGCAAACGCATGACCCGCGCCGATGTGTCGGCCACTAGCCGGGGGTCCTGCGTTTGTCAAACGCAGAACCCCCGGCCAGTAAGGGACAATCGGGGGGGGCGAGGCGTCGCGCGTTTACCAAACGTGGTGGGTCCTGCGTTTGCCAAACGCAGGACCCCCGGCGGGTGCAAGTTTCTGTCGCGGGGGGGTCCTGCGTTTGTCAAATGCAGGACCCCCCTCGCGTTTGGCCCGAGCACCCGCCGGGGGGCCTGCGTTTGGCAAACGCAGGACCCCACCGCGATTGCCCCGACAGTCGGTCGGGGGGTCCTGCGTTTGGCAAACACAGGACCCCCGGCGGGTGCTCGGGGCAATCGCGGGGGGGGTCCTGCGTTTGCCAAATGCAGGACCCAACGGATGCAGACCTCCCGAGGCAATCGCGGGGGTTCCTGCGTTTGCCAAACGCAGGACCCCTCCCGCGATTGCCCCGAGCACTCCACGACACGGGTCCTGCGTTTGGCAAACCGCAGGACCCCTCGGCTGACTGCCAGGGCAATCGCGGGGGGGGGTCCTGCGTTTGCCAAACGCACGCCCCCCGGCGGGTGGTCGGCCAAACGCGCGGGGGTACCTACGTTTGGCAAACGCAGGATCCCCTGCGCGTTTGCCTCGGGCACCCGCTGGGGGTCCTGCGTTTGGCAAACGCAGGACCCCCCGGATGCCGACCGCCCGGGGCGAACGCGGGGGGTCCTGCGTTTGTCAAACGCAGGACCCCCCGCGCGACTGCCCCGACCCCCCTCGCGACTGCCTCGACCCCCCGCACGACTGCCCCGAGGAAACGCGCGGGGGGGTCCTGCGTTTGGCAAACGCAGGACCCCCCGCGCGTTTGCCCCGGTCACCCCCCCATTTTTGTTGGATCCTACGTGGCCAGCGATCGATCCTACGTGGCATTACACATAATGACAATCTCATTTTTGTTGAAAAGTTCGAAAAAAAAAAGGGGGAGGGTTCGATCCCCCCCCCATTAAGGTCAGGGCCTGATCCTACGTGGCATTACACATAATGACAATCTCAGTTTTGTTGAAGAGTTCGAAAAAAAAAGGGGGAGGGTTCGATCCCCCCCCTCCTTG